ATGTGTTAAGCAAACAAAACTGTCTGATTTCTTTATGTAAGATGAAGTTTTGTAAGTTAATATTGTGCATGCTTTGAATATTGATTGAAAAAAAAAATGATAAAAAAATATTTTCTGACTATTCATAGTGTTTCCACAGTTCGCATTTTTCATTTAGCCTGACGATCGTTGCCTCTGACATTTACCTCTTAAAATGCAAAAACTATGAAATGGCAAAAAAAAACATAAGTTTTAGATGTTGAAATCAAACAATAAACACATTAGTTGTTTATTGTCACTTTATTCGCATAAATAATCACTCTCTGCCTGTCCACGAATTTGGTACGAAAGGTGTGAAATCATCAATCATTCGCGCTTGATTACCACTCGCCTCTGGCTTTGGCCAAGGATGACTGGCCGACTGTAGGCAATGGCCCATCCCCTTCCTAACGACATCCCCGCGGATATGACTTTGATAGACTGGCTGTAAGGTCAGACGTTAGAGAGGGGGACCACTGTACATTTTTTCAACAGCAGAATTTTGTTTTTCTGCTATGCTTTTTCAGTGCTCATACTTCATATAACAAACATGAAAACATACTATTTTTATATTTTAAGTCTAGTTACTTGGCTTCTTAATTTTCACTACAAGGCCTGCCTTGTATGCAAAACTACTACAGTTAAACACACACACTGTCATATTACTGTCTTCAGATAATCTTTTTGTTTTTTATGGATTGTAGTTAACACTTAACCCAAATGAGGAAGAAACGGCAGTCACCTCTGAAACAGAAAGGCGAAGACTGGAGTCAAGGCTAAATAGACTTCAGTTGAGGATCAAACTCATGGAAAAGAGGTCCAAGTTATTACAAAGCATTAACTAATGAAACTAACATGACACAAGATTTAGACTGAAGACACTTCAAATAATTAAGAAATATTACGTGTTGTAAGATTGCTCCTTTTAGAGTTGATCATCAATTGATTTTAGGTATACAATATATAATGCTACAGCTGTTAGGTAATTTTTAAAGCAATATTTTATATTATGATTTTTATATTTTTGATTCTTATATACAATCTTGTGGAAGGTTAATATCAAAGAATGAATTAGCAAACTTCTTTCTTAAAAATAGATGTATGTTGTGTTTCATGTCACATTTATTCTTTAATGCTTACTGGTGTGTATAAACATGGATATTGTACAAAACTGATAATATTATAGCTGTTTCTGATATTAGTACTATTGATTTAATTTTACTTGTAATTTAGACATGATTTTGAATCATATAATTGTATTCTTCTTCAAAGCAAAAGTTTTGAATAAAAATAAATATTTTGCTGCACTGAATGATAACAAGCTTTGATTATTAATAAGTCAAAAATGCCTACAAGACAAGTAAAGCTTTTTAAATTTGAATAAACAATTACATTCTCTATTTTCTCATACTTCATCATTATGTATTGATGTAGGTGTTTTTTCAGAATTCAAAAATGGCAAAGCTGAGGTTATAGCTGTGTTGTATCTCATGTCTCTTCACTTGTGCATCTCATGTTTTGTGATTTTTTGAACCTGGAACTTTTAGTTATTGTAGATTTAGTGTATTCTGTAACATTTTTGAATAGCTTTTTTTAATTTCTTGTGAATAAAGAAAGGAATAAGCTCAATTGGAGTAGTGTTATTTTCACATTAAGGTATAAAGAAACCACTGCAAAGTATTTTTTTCAGACATGCAGTTCTGATGAATATCCTGAAGCATTTCAATTAAAAAACTATTGTGTTTCTACTTCATTTTGTTTTTATTCTCCAGAAATTATTTCAAGACGCGAACTTGTTTTTTTTTATCTTCTATTAAGTAAATTTCATCATCAGAATATGTAATAAAAATGCAGCATTATCAACACACTTGTAAACATATTGAATTGACTGATATGAGAAATATAAAATTTTCATATGTAGTGTGTAAAAGATTTTCAGTGGGATTTTATGTTTAAAAGGTACCAATTAATTACCAACATCATATTAACATGTATTGCATAAACAAACAGATGCCACATACAGAATAATTAAAAAAGTAGAAAATAAACTTCTAAATAGAAAAAGATTGAATTAAGTAAATTTGATCTTCAGAATAGTTGGTAATCCTAAATGCATCATTATCAACCCATCTGTAAACATACTGAAGTGTGTGATATGAGGAATACAAAATTTTCATAGGTAATGCATAAAAGTCTTTCAACAGGATTTTTATATGATTAAAAAATACCGATTTAAAGCACTAGTTACCAACAACATACTATAGTGTGTTGCACAAATAAAAATATTTCACAGATGTAGGAAGTAAAAAGTAGAAAATACAAAATTTATTCTTAATTTGTTTATTATTCAAATTGCATGCCATTAACAGTTATACACATATCAGTTCTTGTGCCATCAAGGTATTTTCTTTCCTGAAATATGTACAGCTGACATTAGAAGTGTGTTTGTTGAACTTTAAAAATATAATGTTTATTTTCCCTATAGATCCAGACTTCTAGGACACCCTGTATATCTACCACTATAATTAACAACCTATCTAGGACATTTGTCTTCTACCTTTCTGTCCATTTTACAGTATATATATATATTGATGAATCATTTGTTACATCATTATGATTAACACTTCCCTCTAACAAACAACTAATTTATAACATTGAAAATATAGTTTACAATAATATGTTAATACATTTTTGTTGGTAACTAAAATTTTGAATAAGTGATTGTTTATTTAGAACAACCACGTTTGACTGAATTTTGCAGTTTATACATTTTTGTTTACACACACATTTTCATATTCATATTACAATTTCTCCATTACAAATTATTTCACAATGAAATTTATTCTACTCGCATAGCACGAATTCTTTGCCGCGATTGGCCGGGAGTGCATCACATACATGAAAAAGGTTTTTCTCTGTTGCCTTGAGAGCTAGGCAACATTGGTGCATGCTTTACGTCGGAGCAGAAATTTGCCAGCATTCTAGGTAAATTTTAAACAGGTATGTACTTTATATGTTTATTGGTGTAATCACATAATGATGGGTTGTTGTATTTGGAAAATTCAATAATTTTTGAATTTATTTAACGAAAAACGTTACTCTTTCTAATTTATCTAACATTTGTGAAAAAACTTTCATAAACTACATTTTTTTTTGCCACGTTCTTAATTTGACCATTTAGGATTCAGAATCAGAGTTGTGTGAAAATAAAGTTTCAGTTTTCTTTTTATGTCTCCCACAAATCATTGGTCAATAGGTTTTTCGTTCAGTGACAGAAAACGTAATTTGAACTGGATCGTGAGAGACCAAATTAAGTTTATTTAATGCTATTTATACACGAAGTTTAATACTAAACGCTATGGTTTTATATGCAGAAAGCTGAAGTAGCATAAGAATCTAATACGTCTAACATTTGTAATACGAGTCAGGTAAACTACAGTTACGATTTTGGTTATAAGACCAAAATGGACAAATGAAAAAAAAACCTGAAAAAAAGTACAGTTTTAATTACCTTTTTTATCACAAATGTTAGACGTACTAGTTTCCAATGATTCGTCAGCTTTCGACTTTTAGACTAACATAAAAGTCTTCCGTGAACATACTTCCTCGATTTCTGGTGAGGGACATTGTCCTCTAATCACACTTGTAATTTTGAATTTGAAACAAATTAAGAGGAATGTGAAAACAGTTGCAGTTTACGTGATTTTTAATACCAATGCTAATCGTATTCGTTTTTAATGTTTAACCAACTTTCGGTGTTTAAGCCGTAACCTTCCAATATAAATAATATATAGAAGAAGCAGTTGTATTGTGTTTAATTAGTATGTGCTCCCAAATGGCTCAGCGGTAAGCTTAAAGGCTTATAACGCTAAACAAAAGCAGGTTTCAATACCTGGGATGGGCACAGCAAAGATAGCTTTGAACTTAACAACAAACAAACAAGTTCAGCTTACGTGTTCTGTTATTAAAGAAAAACGTTTTGGACAATGGCTTGTGAGAGAGAAGAAAAAAAATGTGAAACGTTATTTTTGGCACGCCTCTAATTCTGAATCTGAAATTGGCAGATTAAAAGGAATATGGTTAAAAAATCTAGTTAATGCGAGTTGTCTCTCAAATGTTAGGTAAATTAGAAAGTGTAACGGTTTTGAACCAGTTAGTCAGACGCACCGCTTTAAAACCCTATCCAACAGCTGAAAAGATGTTTATTTGAAACAGTTATCGCCTTTGCATAAGCCACTTTTTTAATTATCGGATGCTTCATACAAACAAAACAGTTTTATCTACGTGTTTTGTGGAAAACTTAAAAAACAATAACAACAACTAGATCACAACACATATCTTCATTATATGTATTTTCGAAAGTAAACTGCAGACGTTTGGAATTTTTCAGGTTAGTATAATATAATACTTCAAACATTTAGACAATGAAAATTGTGGCATATTTTTATGGTAGGAAATTGCTAAGAACGAGACTTTAATTACAACAACTTGTAGAAAAACTGTGACGCTTTCTTGTTGATCAACTAATTAGTGAGTTATTCCCTAAAAAAGCGAAAAAAATGCACGAGGGAATGTTAGCAACCCACACTGGACAGATCTGGAGAAATAACCTAGTCAAGATTGTGAATACAACTTTATTTCTCGAAATATATTATCTGTACAAACTCTGTTGAATAATTTATCAGCTTGGTATTTTGTAATTCTTCCGAACATAGTTACTTTAGTCATAAATAAAACGTTTCCTTGTTCTTTCTGCATTTCTTAAAATGTTTTTCTATAATTTTTTTCACTTTTTTATTATAAACTTGATGAATTAGAACACCTCATTATCAATGTGAAAGAAAATTGGATGAACAAATAATGTGTACAATTTGTTCCTATAAGACAAAGCTCTGCACACAGTGCGGTGAGTACTTTAAAACTTGGCCAAGCGACACTGATGTCGCATCTGGTTAAATGACAATAATGCTTTGTTCCAGACCCATGAAGATAGATTGATGATGAACAGACATGTGGACGGAACTCACATGTGCCTTGTGTTTCCGAAGTTTAAGCCACTTGCATTAGCTCCCTTGTTTGTACCGTACTGTAAATGGATGATACCTTCGCTAGCACGTAATTGTTCCTTTGTGAAATCGCGCTTGTTTTGCTCCGCAGGTTTGGGACCAATACAAGGCCCGTGCCATTCTGGGTGTCGTTGACACTGTAAAATAGAAATTATATATTGTCATAAGATTACCTGATAAAATAGTTTTACTTTTATTTGAATATTCTTGCTTCGTAAAAGTTACATTTTCATGTACTGTTTATTTAAAAAAACAGTAATTTCACTTTAAACAGATTGGACATTCGGTATGTGACAAAATGTCTGCGTTTATTACTGCACTTTTGGCCAATTTGTTTTATTCGACACGCTCAAACCCAATCAGAATTTACGTAATTCACTTAGAAAAAGTGACTAATTCTAGTTGTCCTAAATTGAAGTTCTAGAAAGAAAAACTTAAGTGTAGTTTGTCTAAAGAAGGCACTTTTATCAACCTACTTCTCGACCAAGAGCGGACAAGCACTGAGCGACCTGGGGTATATTCCTCTTCTCCCATAAATCAACCGTCTGGAAGAGATCGACTTCAGAAACACCGAATTTTTTGACGGCTTCTTGGAACTTGTTCAAGTTTTCCATTAACTTAAACTGCCCACCAGAAGTGTTATATTTAGGGATACTTCCGGGCTTTATTTTGTTCATCAATCTAAGGAAACAATATTTTGCATTAGAAATACAAAAAATATTTTCTTACAGAACGAGGTTGATGCATGAATTGGTTATTGACAGATAGCACCAACTATTGAATGAGTTCAAATAAAAAACTTGCCAGCATACATAACATACAGAAAGGTGAGCTATTAGTTTGTACTGCTCCCACCTAATTGGTTGTTATATACATTAACATCTATCTTCTAAATATCAACTTGTTCACATTAACAGCAACCTTGAATACTTGTCCCCATTAACAGCAGCCTTTGAATACTTGTCCCTATTAACATCAACCAATTGATACTTGTTCACATTAACAGCAATCTTTGAATACTTGTCCCCATTAACACTTGTTTGCATTAACAGCAACCAGTTGACACTATTTCACATCAAAAGCAACCTTTAGATACTTCTTCCCATTAACACTTGTTTGCATTAACAGCAACCAGTTGACACTATTTCACATCAAAAGCAACCTTTTAGATACTTGTGCCTATTAACACTTGTTTGCATTAATAGCAACCAGTTGACACTATTTCACATTAAAAGCAACATTTAGATACTTGTTCCCATTAACACTTGTTTGCATTAACAGCAACCTTTGAATACTTGTCCCCATTAACACTTGTTTGCATTAACAGCAACCAGTTGACACTATTTCACATTAAAAGCAACATTTAGATACTTCTTCCCATTAACACTTGTTTGCATTAACAGCAACTAGTTGACACTTCTTCACATCAAAAGCAACCTTTAGATACTTGTTCCCATTAACAACAATCATCTAACGCTTGTCCGCATCAACAGCGTCACATTAATAGCAACCATTAAGTAATTGCTACAGTTAAAAATCGTGAATAAAGATTCACTATATTTACAATACGATTAAATGAACAAATTACGTGTAAAGAAAAAGACCACATTTAAAAGTTTTTGAAAATATACCAGTATCTAAATAACGTTTTATCCCAAATATTTTAATACATTTCCCCAGATGTTACCGAGTTTTTCAAACATTAAACTGTGTGTGTGCGTAACTGGTTTCCTACATTTTTTTTCTATGTAATTTACTGTCATGTTGTTTTCTTAGCTTGTTAACCAGTTAGTTAGTGCTAAATCATTTTATTTTAATTTCAGTTATCAAAGTAATTTTTTCGTTTGAATTATACTTCCCACAACTGAATATAGACGGTGAGTAATAGTTCTAAATGTAAGATATCATAGGCTTGAGCGCCCACAGCTTTTAATGAATAATACTAATTTCATCTCGCTTGCGACTGAATATTAAATATGATAAATGGTATATCCCACTCTTCTGTTGATCTTGTCTTCGCAAATAACTTCCCTACCTTATTATTAACTTATATAACATTTATATGTTTTATAATTTCCACATGTATTTACTTGCAAAGAATGATTCCATTTCGAAGAATATCTTCAAAGTGTCCAGCTGGCAATCTCTCCCCTAGACACGCCTGTATCCATTGGAGAATGTCTGCTTCGAGGGCAGCGTCTCGTTTTCCGGCAAGCTGAAACGGTATAAAATCCAAGTATTTAACTTTTACTTTGTGATATGTAGGGAAGGGGGGCGGGGTAGAAGTTTCTTGCACAAAACCTCATTATCGTTTATTACATATTTTTTCTCTGTTAACATTTATGGTATTTTGTATCATTATGATATCATTGGCTTCTTTTGCTGTAGCAATAGGGGAGTGACTTTTATTCACGTGACCGTAAATCATGATGGATTATTATTCTTTGATAGCTTGTTTAGGCAGAGTATTCATGATGAAACTTTGTTAAATGGACGACAACTGCCTGTTGTAGAAACACAAGTGTACAAGACGACGTTTCGAAAGTCTTTCGTCTTCAGGTCGAAGGCGGAAGACCTTTGAAACGTCGCCCTCTACACTTGTGTTTCTACAACAGGCAGTTGTCATCCATTCAATAAATTTTCATCATGATAGATTATTGTTTATTTGGAACTGGTTATGGAGGGATCATTGCTGACGTGCACCCTATGGTTTAAGTACACTTGATGGCGTGTAGATGTACAGCTAGTGATGAATTTACATATTGTTATTCACATATGAAAGGTGGATGTTGTAATTAAAAGTACCTCATTAACATAACTTTGGACATTGTACATTGCTTATCGTGTGTATTCATTAGTTCCACATCAGTGATATTTAAGTTAGGAAATTTCCTTCGTTTTTTTTCTCTTATTTTGTAACTGTCTTTTCTATATTACAGACTAAAGATTGCATTATTAAAACCGTTTCTTTTACTACTACTTTTTCAGTCCTCTAGTATATTTTTACATACTGTTTCTGTAAACATAAAAATTCCTCAAAAGTTGATCATCTTCCAAACTTTCTTCAGTCCTAGTTACACCAGGCTGAAGTGAAGCAGCTCTGTTTGATAACTGTACGTGAAGCAGGAGGGAACAGATCCTGTCAGAAACAGCTTCTCTTATTTAGTTTCTGTAACCAGAAGTAGTTAAGAACGCGACAAGATAACGTGACGTCATTCTGGGTATTTATAACTTACACTGCAGATTCTAGGTCAACCCAAGGAGACGGAATCGTAACATTTTTGTTCACAAAAAACTAATTACTCAACGTATAGATCATGAAAACTTAAAAGTCTTATATAAAATAGAGATACTAAGAACTTACTGTTAGTGTTTAATGTTAATAGACGGGACATATTAAAAAAATATATATGGTAAATAGCTTATATTATCTTTCAAACAATTACTAAAACCTGTTTGAAGTACTTGATTAACTAAACGCAATCTTAAAATTTAGGGTAACTATCTAAATATAGCTTGGTTTTCTTGTCAACAAAATAATAATAAAGAACAAATGGTACATGGTGTTAATTCCGATAATTTCATTGGTTATATTTCTGTTATTGGAAGTTGGAAAAGTCTATTTATCTTTTAGATTGCAATCTTTGTAATTTGCATAATGTTGATTACAATTCTAATTCATTATACATAATTAATTTGCCTAGGTCATGAATCCAGAACAGAACTGAAATTATTTCTTGTACTGCAGAAATGGAAAAAAAAACCAACTTAATTTCCTTTTCCTATTTAACATTGTCTTAATTATCAAATTTCAATATGTTCATAATTGTGAACATTACGGGCTGGGAGCCAAATTCAGAAGATATGTTTTAACCAAAGCTCCCAGTGGTTTATTTTTAGTAACCCATTTAGTTTTATTACTCTTCTAGTTTTTTGTTATAAACAACTACTTCCCACAACTGGATACAGACGGTGAGTAATAGTTCTAAATGTAAGATATCCTAGGCTTGAGCGCCCACAGCTTTTAATGAAGAATAATAATTTCATCTCGCTTGCGACTGAACATTAAATATGATAAATGGTGTATCCCACTCTTCTGTTGATCTTGTCTTCACAAATAACTTTCCTACCTTAATGCATTAAACTTTGTACTCCAGCACCTTTGATGATTTCTTACCTAGATGTTTAAATAAACTTTAACAAGACTGTTCCATTTTCTTTGATACGTAGAGAAGCACGATACCTTCAAGTTATGAAGTAGTTAGCTGAAAAAGGTATGTTTTATCACATAGCAATTTTGAAATGCCATAAAGCCATTTCTACAGGGGTGTTGATGATTTATTCTTGGAAGTAGAACCTAGAATATTTTTATCTTTTCTTATACACTTTGACTATTTTTAGTTCTCCCACACATAGACGTAAAAACACCTTGAATTCCAAATAAATAAATAATTTCTAATTCGCTTATCGTTCTCGACGTTTTTGCTAATAATATCTGTTTCATTCACATTTCTCAATTTTTTTACAAACTACGCAATTTTTCACAGTTAGCCACAACATCCAGTTACAGCGTTGGCTGTAATATCAAGATTCTACGTAATAAACACTGATAATTCTCTTCTCTTGACTTTGTACCTCTTTAGTAATGTTGACAACTTTAAACGAAATATTGCTGATTTATAGTTTTGAGAACCACCTGGTAGCGTTACGTTTAATTCAAAAATTGAGGTTGATGCTGTAGTACAATTTATATGATTGATAATAACAAAAAGTTTAATATTTACATAAAACCGAAAAGCAGGTTAACTGCGGATGAGGGGTAACAAAAAATGGAGACATATCAGTGAAAGTACGGTTAAAGTAGTGAAAACACTTCAGTGTTAGTATGACTAAAGCAGTGGAAATGTTTAAGTGTTAATACAGTTAAAACATCGGAGACATTTAAATCGTTATACAGCTAAAGCAGTGGAAATATTTAAGTGTCAGTACAACTAAGGCATTGGGGTAACTTAAATTTCAGCAATAATTGAGAGTGTATGAAATTTGATATACTTTTTCGTAAGAGTTAGGTTTAACTAAAATGACCCTACCTTGTTAGCAACCTGCGCCGAAAGCCCGTAAGATGGTCCACGATTTGCCATCTCGTCTGTCTGACTGCACAAGAGAAGCAAAGTCTACTCGACTGACAGCCAAGAAATGAAGTAATGCCGTTCCACTCAGCGCTGTATTCTCGTTCTTAAAATACTTGCAGCTTTCTATGGACGAATCTGCTTTATGAAGGATGAAGAGGACATATTCGGTGTGTTACGTCATCAGCTTCTTCCACAAAAGGGAGAAAAGTTTGTTAAGTCGGTTCGGTTTACACCACCCCATCCCCAGCTTCATATGACGTGGCCTAATGGAAATAAATAGGGCGTAGGTGAAAACGGACAAGTTATTGCTGGTAGAGTGAACTCGAGCTACACCGAAACTCGTATCTCGCCGAAACATCTCTAGGAATTCTGAAGATTATCTTTCCTACGATATCAAGTGTAATTGATCAAGTCCTTTGAAATAAGATAAGTTATGCCAAGTTCTCAGAGGTTACGACGTTACATGCTATACGTTCAGTATATGGGACATATTTTAATGTAAGAGTAATTAAATTGCCTATTATATGAATAAAAACGCGATACCGAAGGTGGAAATGAGAACGCAAGGCTGGTAGTTTTCTTTGTTTAAACATTATGGCATACGTATAAAAGAAAAATATATTTAAAATATATGTTTACGACGGGACCCATATTTATCACTTGGTGACAACTGGAAATTGACACCTACTGATTATATTAACTGCGGGTTGCATCGCAAGTTCAGTTTATAAGTAACTGGTTTATTATTTAAATCTTTCAAACCAATGAAAACTATAACATAGGAATCGTTGCTCCTTGATAAAAATTTCCCTTCAATGCAAACTGTAAAACCACTTTACTGGCAAACATTTATGGCAAATATAGTTTCTAAGGAACTGATTTATTCGTTGCTAAGTGAAAGCTTTATAATAATAGAAACTATAGCCCAGTTTTCAACTAGGAAAAACAGTAAAGTGTAAAATGAAATATAGTGACGACATTTAAAAACAGGGAAGAGAAAATTTAAACTTTTTACATTTCTCCTTATCTATAAACGTTGTCGTAATTTCTAGCACGAGAACGCCGTACCCTCTATACTGACTCACGTGAAATATATTTAGTGAAGTGAGGCAGCACTGTGGGTATTCGAGAAACTTTTCAGCCACAGCCAAATATTTAAAGGGTTACGAAACTGTGTCAGGTTTTTTTCTTCTCTGTAGAGACACGACCACCTATAAAGTTTCTTGGTTTTAAGGGGCTTCTTTGCCAAGACGTTTTGTTTGTTGGTAACTGGCTAAAAAAAAAAATGCAACTCACTAGGCCACCTAAAATTTACACTAAAAATATTGCAAGGAAAATTTTATTATGTTAAAAATATCTAAATAACAACTAGATCTTTCTTACTGATTTATGTTACGTCTTGTTAGCCGAGAGTGGCATACTCTTATTCACAGCAACGTTCTTGAAAGCAGGCCGTATAGTGGTTTTGTTTTAATTATTAATACCTAAAACAGACATGTCGCAGGCTGTGAGTAACTACGCCAGCGTCATACGATATATTTACAGGATGGCTGTTCGCCACAGCAGTATATCTATCGGCTCTGTTTTTACTAGATTTCATCACAAGCTTAAAAGATAAAAATCTTTTAAACGTTGGCGTCTTTTTATGATAATAAATATTTCAAGTAATGAATTCATTGTGTTTTAAATTTTAAATCCTCCCATCGTATTGTTGGCTCTGACATCCTACTGTGTGTGTGTGTGTGTCGAGTAAATTAAAAATTGAATACAAGTTTGTTTGTTTGTTGTTAAGTACAAAACTACACAATTTAGTGATTTTTAGCGTTATAATCCTTCAGACTTACCGCTGAGTCATCGGGGAGCCACGAATGCAAGATTAATGTTTTTATTTTATTTTTATAACATGTTACCTGACATTTATAAATGTTAAGAATAAAGTCGCAAACGAAATAATTCTCGTGTCAGTAACGCAACATTTTTATAAATGTGTATAGAGTATCTGTACTATCAGATAATATCATACACAATTCATATTATTCTATCGCAAATTTGTCAAAAAAGCAAAGTTAGCATGTCGGGCTACAGATCGGAGGAGCAGATTCCAAACGTGGTGCCGTTGAGCACCTTCTACACTTTCACATGTTGGCTCATTATAAAAGTGACAGTCAGACTTGTTCTTTGCTTCAAAAATTCGGGTGAAACCATTATTGTGGTTGGAACTATTGGATGGCTACATTCACTTTCGTCAACAGTTTATACATACCCTAATCTGTCGATGTAAGTATAAGGTGGCGTTCAGGTTGAAAATTCCAAGTTCAGGGACTTTTACTTGGTAATCCAGATAAACATGCTTCTGATTTGAAATCCTAGAAGTGATTTTTACCACAAACGTTAGGCCTTTTTATTCCACATCAACTGTTTCGCAGAGTACCTGTATTTGTTTGTTTTTTGAATTTCGCGCAAAGTTACACGAGGGCTATCCGCGCTAGCCGTCCCTGCCTAATTTAGCAGTGAAACACTAGAGGAAAAGCAGCTAGTCTTCACCACCCACCACCACTTTTGGGCTGCGCTTTTACCAACGAATAGTGGGATTAAGCGTAGCATTGCAATGCCCCCCACGGCTGAAAGAGCGAGCATGTTTGCGAGTCGAGCGCCTTAACCACCTGGCCATGCCAGGCCCAAGTACTTTTAATTACTCGTAATGTTATACTTAACGATTTAGAAATGTTTCCGGAAGACTGATCTCAAAGATGAAGTATAAATATATAATATTTTTGTTTTACATTTTCACTAATTCTCACAAAAATTGTATCACGTTTTCAGGGTCGGTTTTTTCAGAAATAAACTACTTTAACACTATTTTATTTCATTTTATATATCAAGTCTATCAATTTATTCAGGTATCTGTTGAAATGATTTGCTTTCGCTTGATGTATAATATTGGTATGAATAGAGACCGCCGGGGCCAATTTTGTTTTAGCTGACTAAGAATTTAGGCTTAAACCCGCCCCTGCACGTTTTATCTCTGAGGGTTTTAGCTATGTTTGTCATTACCAGTAAGAACAGCTTGTACAATGCATAAAGGGGTTAGCCACAATTTGTTTAAAACAAAAAATCCTTAAAATTAAACACTGCATTGCCATCTTTGTTTCTTTACTGAAAACAAAAAGCCATTTGTTATTGTTATGAACGTAAAACTGATAATTAACGATATAGAAAAATATCAATGGAGAAAGAAGACCAGTAATTCATTTCATTGCCACCAGGACAAAGTTATATCTACACTTAATTTTGCCATAAGGCTCTAGACATTTTCCGTAACTTATGTGTATTGGTTATTTGATAACTTTCGCGAGGATTGGTTCATAATTACTTTCAGAAGGTTTTCATCTATTCAATGATCGACCAACGATGCTCTGTTCGAAACAAAATATGATCATATTGCTGTACTATTACTTCATTTGTATTTTGTTTTAAATCTAAAGCATGGGCAGTATGTGAATTTCCCAGTGTTTCAAGGCATGGAAGCATGTGGATTACCTAGTGTCAGCATTCTACGGCATATGTAGTATGTGAATTACCTAGTGTCATTATTCCACGGCATGTGTAGTATGTAAATTACTTAGTGTTAGGCATCAAAAGCATGGGAATTATGTGGATCATAACGTGTCAGTGTTCCAAAAAATGGATAGTATGTGGATCATGCTTTGTGGGTTTATCAAATGGGACTGGTGTATGGATCAGTGTTGATAATCTGAGGCTTGACAGTATATGGATCACTGTGCTTCGATTTTCTGAAGCTTGGATAGCATGAGGATCAAAATACATTGATGTTCTGAAGGTATGAAAATATGTGGATGACTGTATGTCAATGTTTTTAGATTTGGGTAATATTTAGATTACTGTGTGTTGGTTTTCCAGACCTTGATAATATATGGATCATTGTAAGTTGACGTTATTGAATTACAATAGCATATGGATAACTGTATATTGTTTTTTTATACCTGGGTATCAATATCTGTTGATTTTATGAGACCTTGGTAATATATTTATAATTGTTCTTTGATGTATTAAGATCTAGGTAGTATCTGGATTACTTTATGTTGGTTTTCTGAGACCTGAATAATATATGCAATACTCCTTGATAATGTATTCAAACTATAGCATTATGTGGGTCATTGTTTGGTCTTCCTCCATCCTGGGTAAAACAAATCACCATTAGTTGTTTTGAGATGTGGGTTGTGTTTGGATCACTGCAAGTTGCTTATTTTATACTTGAATAAAATGAATCACTATATGGTCATGTTTTCAGACCCGAGTAGTACGTGATTGATTATATATATTGGTATTCTTAGACCTATGGTAGTTTTTCGGTTACTGTTTGTTGATCTTCTAAAAGTTGGATAGTGTGGGTATACATGCTGATGGTGTTTATGGACAAAGTAGTACAAATACCACTCACTCTTAGTGATCTGAGATCATTGTTGTATTGAGATTAACCCTATGTGTACAGGTAGAGGTCAAAGTGAGCATGGCAAGACATTTTACAGTTACATTAAAATTTAACTAAATTTATTATAAATTCATGTCAATAAGCTTGGTATCAAATCATAGTAAATAAATCAAAATTTAATATACATTTAAGTTTCTTAATTTCAAAAGGAACTGTTTGAATAATTTCACAATCTTCACATCTATGTATCATGTGACATTGTTCATTTCCAATTGCCTATTTAAACATTCTTTCCACCCCACCCCTATTTGAGCTTTTAAGTTTTAATAAAAGTTACAAAACTCTAGTATAGATAGTGCTGAGTCAATCTAATTTATAGTTTCCAATTAATTTGATTTACAGAGATATTTGTTTGTTTGTTTTTTGAATTTCGCGCAAAGCTACACGAGGGCTATCTGCACTAGCCGTCCCTAATTTAGCAGTGTAAGACTAGAGGGAAGGCAGCTAGTCATCACCACCCACCGCCAGCTCTTGGGCTACTCTTTTACCAACGAATAGTGGGATTGACCGTCACATTATAACACCCCCACGGCTGAAAGGGCGAGCATGTTTGGTGTGACGGGGATTCGAACCCGCGACCCTCAGATTGCGAGTCGAGCACCCTAACCACCTGACCATGCCGGGCCTACAGAGATATACCCTAGAAAGTCAATTACACATGCCACACCTTCCTATGACATAGTATTTCAAAAAAAAAAAGTCAGTAATTCTCTTTGACATTTGCTACAACATTATTTATGACCAATAGAAATTGAAGATTTTAATTCACTGAACTATGTACAATGTTACATCATTCTGATGACAGTTTTTCAATTATTTCAATTGCCGAATTTATACCAAAATGGTAAGGTAATTATTTTAACACACTTATAGCTTAATTAGAAAGTCAATTAAATTATAATAGCTATAGTATATTGTATTCTAAACTGAGTATTGGAAATACATATTCAGTGGTGTACTGACAACAACCAAACCAAAAATTAGGGTTAACTTTTATCGAGCCTTGAAGTGCTAAAAAGTACAAGACCAACAAATAAGTACAAAATTTCTTGTTTTTTTTCATATATATTATTTTATTAGTGTAAAAGTAACTAAAGTGTAGAAATAAGAAATTTAATAGGTTAGATAAGAAAGCATAAAAAGAAATTAAATAAAAAAATTTCTCAGTGAAGTATGCACATACATTACATAAGTCAACATTTTGAGTACTGTAACTTGAGCTTTATGCTCACCAGGTGATTTCTCATTTTGTTATGCCGGTTTAGTATTTAGACAAAGTTGAAAGATCAATAACATTAAAAGAAAACAGATGTAAACCTGAGGTATTCTGGGTTAAATAACTGTAATTTTCTGTTACAATCTAGTCATTCTAGAAAGAAAAAGGCTAATTTAGAGTTATTTTATAAATGTTTTGTTGTGGTTACAAGGTCAATCAAATGGACTGAGTCTGCATAGTGGTAAGGTAGAGAAAATACTAGTTAAAATATAAAAGTTTTACTGAAAAAACTTTTGATATTGATTTAGGAGATTTTAGAGGTTATGTAAGTGAAACATAAAAATGTAACAAAAAAAAATTTTCATTTTATAGCATAAAAATCGCCTCGCACTCAGACTGAATAAAGTAAATTCAGAGACAAATATTCAGTATAAATACTTTATAAAAATTTCTGATTTTTGTGTACAAAATACTTTTAATATTTACTAAAAGCTTATCAAATTTCATTCAGATACGTTAAGTAAATTCAAAATTGTAGAATTTACAATGTAGGATGAATACACAAAACCACAGAAAAATCCCTACATAAGTAGCCAAATATTTCAAAGAAAAACTTTAACCTACAACTAAATGTAGAATTCCTTTCATTTGCATAAATTCAGGTTTGAATAAAAGCATTTAAATTGAATAATGTTATAATGGCTAATTCCCATAAACTTGTAACATTGACCCAATGGCTACTTATGTAGCAATTTTTGTATAGTTTTGTGTATTCATCCCTTTCTTGTTTCTGTAACTTTTGGCATTGCCATCTGTACATCATCCCTGTTTTTGTCAAACTTTGTTTATTACTTGTTTCCCCCTTTTTTTTTTTTAATGAATGGCAGTTGCTATGAAGGCAGCAGTTTTAGCCAGGCGTAATGAGTTATCTTGATAGATATCATGTGTTGAAGTTAGTGAAATGCTATACTGCTTCTGTACTCCCCAAGTTGGAATGCAACATTTGGATGTGTAAATTATCACAACAACTTCAGGCATTGGTGAGCTAACTCCTCTGATGCTAGAATCAGAATAATAGTTTTTGAAAACCTAAGTTAGGTGCTTATAAAAGTCTCTTACATTGTTATGAGAGAGATTTGTGACTATAATGAGCAATATATAATATGCAATGGCCATTTTTTTCTGTCCCATCCCTACATACTAAGCACTACTGTGCTTAGAGATAGTAAACATTAATTCCCCAGTATAATTTTGGTTTAATATAACAGCCCTGTGTATGTGGGGTTAATGCATGATAATGTTTTAACACCTGGGCACAATGTGGATCACTGTATATTCTTGATAAAAGAGTTAGCACAAAGGATCACATATAAAGTGTAATAAACGTAAAATAAGACCCCAAATTCGAGCACTTTTGAATAGTTGACTATTCTTCTTCAGGAGAACAAAGGCTGACCTTTAGCCTGCACAATGCAATATATAGTAGGACATGTGACGTCATGTAAACCGAAGGTCCCAGTTGATCACTGTACATTGGTATTCCATGAGGACCTAGTCACCAAGTAAAATCACTGTATGTCAACATTCCGAGACTACAGTACTATGTGGATCACTTTATGTTGACATTTTTAAACATGAATAGTATGTAGGTTAGTGAATATTGATCTCCTGAGACTTGTGGATAAATGTAAGTTGGTATTTTGAAGCCACATAGTATGTTAGATATCAAAGATCAAGACTAGTATGTGGATCAATGTTCTGACACTTGGGTAATACATGGATCACTATGTTGCACTACTGAAATTAGAGTAATATGTGGATCATTCTATGCTTATGTTCTGAGTTTTAGGTAATATGTCAGTGTTCCATGTGAGTTTATAACAACTATTTAACACAAAGAAACTGATTGATTATTAAAGACTTTAATTCTTATCACCCTAGGAATAAAGCTATACAAAAAATGTTATATATATATATATATATATTCAAATTAATATTTCTTCTCATCGCAGTGTAAAGTCTGAGAGCATAGCTACTTCAGAAGATTTTGCTACAACTTGCTATATATCTTCAGGTCATTGCCATATATTAGATCAGATTAAGCAACTCAGAAAAGATAACAGTAATTCAGAGTCATGGAACTAATCTGTTTAAAATTACCTTTTTTTGAAGTGATTTTATTCTGAAATGTGGAAAATTACCAAACAGTGGTAACTGTCATACATTTGTACATTTACTTTCATTTCATTCGACCTTCACCATTTTAATAGAACTTCCTAGTCAATCACAAGTTCCCCTTTTCTCCTGCAAAGATGGACAAAGGGATGACTAGTCTGAATTTTGTCAACCAAAGCCTAAAATAGTTTCTCAGATAAAGAACAGTCTTCTCATAAGCAATGCTAGTATCATCACCATTACAACATAAATTAAAACTGTAAACATTTTGTTAGAAATACTTTGACTCTGTACAGTATTGGGCTGTGTAAGCAAATTTGGTGAAACTTGGATTTGTGAAGCTTCGTCCAATCCAGTATCTACAATCCTTCTGTGCAAATTACTTTCAGGCTCAGAATTTTGATTTATGGAAGAATTCCCTGTATCCATGGTTGAAGAAGAAGAAGGTGAAGGTTCCTCCGTTTTCTCAGCTTCTCCCTTTAGGCATATGGAAACAGTTTTAAACGTCAAAGTAAACAGAAAAACATCTTTTGATATAAACATTAATTACAAAAACTTCTGTTGCAACAAACATACATAGAAACACATACTAAAAGGCCTATTATGAGGAAAATTTCAAGTAACTGTTTGTTACATCACAAGATATCAAGAAATATTCTGGATTTTACATAATGTTATATTAAACACTTCCAATTTAACATTATAGTTGTATGTCACAAGATGTAAAATTATTAACACAAACATCAGAACATAAAATCACAAATAACTAACGACAGTACCCAACACTACGAAGTAAATACATCTGTATCTAATGACAGTTTAACTACAACATCGTCAAATGCCACTAACCATAGACAGTATCAAACATCTATATCTAATGACAGTATCCAACAACAGAATTTATACAAATGGGATAAATAATTTATCCAAGATCAATATACCAATGCAATGATATTTCTAAATGAAATTTATGCAATATGAATATCTTCTACCATTATGCAACCTTTATCTTATGGTCTTTTTTCAATATGTTTCATATAGATATCACTTATTGCAAAACTGTGTTGTTACTATTTAAATCCATGTTGCAAACATAACATATATAGTTGTGACTTGACTTTTAAAATAAAATTAAAATTAGCATAGAAGGTACAAAATTAAATACAAACAAGGTTCAATATTATGTATGGTTTTCCACATGTACAACTGTTTAACTAATTTACAAATGCATAGGGTTACCAGATTGAGACTTTTTTTCTATATGGAGTAATATTGTAACAGCTCTCAAACAGTTTAAATTACAATGACACACTTTTTACCATTTGCTGGATATAATTGTGTTTATTGCATTATGTTTTAAAACCACAGACAAACAAAATCTGTTGCCCCTTGTCCAGATAGAAAAAATAATAAATACAATAAAAACATGTCTATATTTTTTGAACCTATTCAACAGATATGTTGCTTCTTCATTTTCTTTTTTGCCACTGGGCAAATTTCAAATCTCAATTCCTGTAGCTTCCCAGTGACAGGTTAGGTTAGGAAAATGTAGCAGAAAGACATGGTAGACTGTTCTGCATGATGTGTCTTTGTCAAGTGAGTGATTCTCCATGTAAAATTTAAAGGAGCCATGTATAATGACAAAGTGTACATATCAAACTCACAAAAACTCAGAAAAACTGAGACAATTTAATATTTTTTGAATGGGACAAAAAATAAGGCTTAAAAACTTGGACATCTGGTAACCATACAAATACATTCTCTCAAGAACTGCAATATGTAAATTTGTTTTTCCAGTTTCTTTGTGTGCAAAATTTTGATACCACCTAAAATGAAGTGGTGCAAATACACTTAGTTAAGAAATCAAAAATATATTTTTAATTATAGCAAATCAGAGATACCTTAGGTGACATTAATTTCACTATTCTAATATGTAATATTATGTAGCATGAAAGTTCAAAACTTGTTTAAAACACAGACCCATTTAAAAATGTTGCATACCTTGAAAGAAATCTGTAGTGCTAATTCTTTAGCTTCTTGGTTTGTTGCTGCTGACTGAGGACCTTCTGACCTATCCAGTAAAATATTATTCATTGGACCACATACTGGACACTTCCACGATTGAGACCTTTGAGCATGGATTAAAAAATTTGATTTACCATTGTTAGTTCTGAGGAAAAATTAAAACCATAAGACCTGTTATATTTATATAAAAACTTCACTTACAGTTACACTATCAATCATAGTCTCTACTGCAAAACCAAAACCACAAGAACAATGTTCTTCTTTCTCAGATATTATGGTCTTTAAAAAACATTTACTTATGTTATGGAATACAGAAGTTTAAAGTTAACATAATTTTATAACTTGTGATTTGTCCATCTATATATATAATGGTTATATTGTTATGGAAGATTAGAAAATCTTAAAATATTAGGCATATACTAAAAGCAAAATTAAAGTTAACAAAAGTTTGCTAGTTCCAAATAATATCATAAAATACATATTACATGGCTTTTACTATATCTATACTTTTGGAATTGCTTTAGCAAGTTTGGATGTAGTTGTGCATAATGACATTAAACATACACACCAACTTTTCAAAAATGTAAAATAAATAAAGTAATAAAAGATTATTTTGTCTCATTCTGAAACAATAACTCTATATGATCCAAATAATATATCTGTATAGAATATATCATATAATTTGATTTAGTATCTGTATCAACTCTTAGTTTCTGAAATATATGGAAGTTCACTATAACACAGTTTTTATAAAAAAAAAAAATGAAAAGTTCTTCATTTTGTCTTAAACTTTCTACTATGTATGTTACTCTTCTAAAACACCATATGAAGTTTATGGAAATATACAGATGATCACTTATATACACCAGAAAACACTATAAAGAATATGTAAAAACCATACTAGTTTTTTATTGTTGAGAAAAAAAAGAAGTTAAATTTTTCTATATCTAATGAATTTAAACTACTTTCTTTTGGAATGTTTTTTTTGCTCACTGTAGCAATCACATAACCTAGTAAAAATATGCTAACCCTAAGTACAAAATATTTCTGAAGCTTTCAGATGGAAATAATATAACACAAACCCCGTATCAGCAAAAAAAAAAGGAAACTGTCACCAAGAAGTTAAAAGGAATAACTGACTAGTTTATTATATCACTTTAATTTTTACACCTTGACATTTTAATGATTTTTAGCAGAAGGACATGATTAATTATAATCTGACATACACTTGTAAAGAATCCCTGTGGGAAGTATACACCTGGAAAAAAGTTAAGCACCCCCGTGTTTTTTTCAAGTGATTCAGATTC